TAATAGGATTTTTAAATTATAAAAGCAGTGCATATTTATATAAAAGGTTTGGGAAATCAAGGAGCTTTACAGTTGACTTCTGGCTGTTTTGGAAACTTCTAAGAACAGCGATGCACACAGAGAAGTGGAAAAGGCTCTATCAGCTCCCTAGTGCCCTTTCTTATTTCCCAGAATCCAGCCACAGTTCATGGGCTGCACTGGAAGCCCCAGCTTTGCCATGTGCCCCTGTGAATAAAGTCTTTTTTACACAGGAGAGTTCAAATGTAGATACAGAGACTATTAAAGAGACTCCTGTTGCACTGACTTAGAAATCAGTGCAGGGCCAAAGGACAATGACACCAAAATTCACTGTCTGAAAGAAAGGTGGCATTTTACTATGAATATGGGAGATCACACCCTCTTCTTCCTGCCATGGTAGAATGTAGTGTTGTGATGGGACACTGTGTGCCTCTTGGAGAAACTGCAGGAAACAGAGTCACCAAGCTCATAATCTTGCACAACAACATATTGTTATCTGAGTATGGAAGATGGGGTGCAGAGAAGTAGAAGCCACCCATCCTGGGGGTGGCTTGGTTAGACCTGGGGCAGCTGGAACCCCTGACTGTGAGTTGCCTCCTGTCTTGACCCTTGTTGCTGTACAAGTATTAAATTTTTTTTCTGTATGTGTCATGATGTGACAAAGGTTGGGAAGCATGGCTCTGTTCAATAGATTGCAGCTTTGGTTCTATGAGAGGAAAGATAAAGTTTGTGTTGGCAAGCTTTCTGCTATTTTGACAAAACACCTGAGATAATCATATAAGGAGGAAAAGATTGATTTTGGCCTCAGAATTTTAGAGGATTTCAGTCCATGGTATCTTGTCCCTCTTGCTTTGGGCCTGTGGCAAGGCAGAACATCATAGTGGGGAGCGTGTGTTAGAACAAAGCTTCTCGTCTCATGGCAGCAGTAACATTAAAGAGAGAAACAGAAGGAGGCCAGGTTCTGAAAGGTTCCAACTCCCAGGAGTGCCTTAGGCTAGAGACTAAACCTTCAACACATGGGCCTTTGGAGGACACTGAAAATCCAAACACATCCGGAAGTCACTTGAATAAATCTTACAAACTGATAGGACTTTGTAGATTACATCTTGCCCAGACTCCCATTCCATACACATTTTGCACAGATGATCATCAGGTGGATTCCACCTGATGGGAAAGTCAATGCTTCAGAGAGACTCCTACCTTTTATGTGCAACTCTAAATTTTATAAAATTCTTCATTTTATTGAACCAGACATTTCTCCAATTATAGTTCATTATAACATGATGGTAATATTGATTTGACTTTTATGATCCATAAATTTCCATTTACTTCCCTATAATTCCCACACTTTGACCTGATTCTGTCCTTTGAACCACGTAGAAAAAATGTGTACTCTATCATAAGTGGCAGCCTTTCTGACGTTGCCCTTCCTATAGGAGTTTTGTTTTAATAAAAGACTAATTTTTAGAATAGTCTTAGATTTACCAAAAAAAAAAGAGAGAGATATAAGAGTTTCCACACACTACTCCCCACCATGTACCCAGTTTTCTTTATTATTTATATCTCATAGTGCATTTGTTATAAATAATGAACCAATATTGATATGTCATAATTAACCAAACTCTATACTTCATGCAGGTTTCCTTAATTTCTACCTAATGTCCTCTGTCTGTTCCAGGATCCTGTATTACATTTAGTTGACATGTCTCTTTAGTCTCCTCTTGGCTCTGACATTTTCTTAAACTTTTCTTGACAGGGCTTTATCCCAAGCCACCTGGACATGTGCACACACGTGCACACATATACATAAATATTTCTACACGTAGCCATCTGTATCTATATTAACTTAAACATGAGCTATATCTACAATTATAGTCCATTATAACATGATGGTAATATTGATCAGACTTTTCTGATCCATAAATTTCCATTCCAACAAAGAGAAACCTGGTTTCTACCATTTGCCTTCAACTTTTTTGGGGGATGGGCACCAGGGATTGAACTCAGGGGCACTCAGCCACTGAGCCATATCCCAGCTCTGTTCTATATTTTATTTAGAGACAGGGTCTCACTGAGTTGCTTGGTGCCTTGATATTGCTGAGGCTGGTTTTGAACTTGAGATTCTCCTGCCTCAGCCTCCTGAGCTCCTGGGATTACAGGCATTTGCCACCCCGCCCAGCTGCTGTCTATCTATTAATTGTTCATTTCCAATATATGTATATGACAGTTACCATAATGTTAATCTATGAGGATTTCTCTTTTGTTTTATTCTTTTGTCAAGTTAAGCATCATAGCTCCTTTAGCCATCTTGTTCATCCTCCATCAATTTCATGGGAAATGAGCAGAGATCACTTTCTGCATTTTGCAAATGAGGAAAATTGAACTTTATCACTCATTCACATTCAAGGCACTAGTTGAAGTGTTGTGCAAACATTAAGTCATTCTTCCTCACAACAACCTTATGAGCTTGTTAATGATGATATCCTCGAGTAATAGGAGGAGAAGTTAATGACTTGTCCAAATTCAGATAATTAATGAGCAGTGGAACTGGATTCAAAATGAAAGAGTGTGACTTCCAGGTTCATGCCCTTGAGTATTGTCATGCCACACAGCTGCTGAAGGAATCTTTCTGAAGGACGGCTTTGCTATGCACATACCTTGCAAACCTTCAGTGGTTCACATTTGCCCATAGGAGAAGACCGAGTTTCTTAGCCTAGCTTTCAATGCTTCTGCAACCCACAGCCAGCCCTGTGCTCCAGCTTATCCTCTCTGAGCAGTGGAGACCCCTGGAGCATGCCTGCATACTGTTGCTTCTCCT